AGAAACCAAAGTATCTTTGGAAGCACCACTTGCTTGAGAAGCAACGGGAAGCTGCCCAGCTACCGGAAACATTGCTTTCCAATGAGGTCCCACCATTCTAGGACAGACGTTTCCCAGAATGCCAGCACCCCAATCAGCCCGTTCCTCACAGTCATCACAGGACATCACTGTGATGTGAGTCCTTTTCCACTCTATATTTTTCCATAAAAAGACATGTATTTGAAAGATTTCAAATACAATTTAGCTCTAAGAAGGAAAACGGCCCATCCCATCTGAGCGCACAGAGATAGATGATGGGTTCCTAACCTGCACGGCAAAGCTAATGAGTGTCTGCCAGGCTCTCACGAAGCCCTGGGTGTCTGGTGGGATCATTTAGTTCAGAAGGCAGGTAGGGGAGACAGCTAGGGCTCCCGACAGGTCCTCCTGGCAGAGCCACACCCTGGGGCTCAGGGTCAGCTTGTCCCCCCCACCAGCCACAGGCAGGAAGGCCACCTTAACCGAAGTGCCCTCCAGATGCAGAATTCAAACCCAGAGCAAAGCGAGGTTTGAGCAAGGAGCAGAGAGACTCAAAACAGAGAGAAGGAGGTGTGAAAATTTTCAGCTTCCCAAGCAGAAATCTTTGCATCAAAGCAGGGGAAGGGGTAAGTTTACCACTTAAGCAGGGAGTGTGGAGTCTACAGCTTAAATCCTTGCCCGTGGAAGATGGACAAATTAGTACAGCCGCTCTGGAAATCAGTATGGAAAAGTCCTCAAAAGCTGAAAATAAGTCTGTCATATATCCCAACTATATTACTCCTTGGCATATGCCTAAGGGACCCGACATCACACCCCACAGATTCTGGCTAAGCAGTGTTTGCAGCTGCCCTGTTCACAATAGACAGAGAATGGAACAACACAGATGCCCTTCAACAGACGAATGGATAATGAAAATGTGGTACATGCACACAATGGAATACTAGTCAGCTATAAACAAAAGTGAAAGCACGCAGCAGAGACCTCCACAGAATCTGACTCTGGCTATCAATACAGGTGTATGTACCGGTAGTTCAATTTTACTTTATACCCTGGCCGTGGGAGCTGGGAGTGTTTGGAAACCCCACACCACCGCCACCCAGGTGTATGTGACAAAGCACCTGATAGTCTTGGGAGACCAGAGAGGAGTCACAGAGATTCCGGGCAGTAAGAATGATGGTGGGGGGCTGGAGAGATGGCTCAGTGGTTAAGAGCATTGCCTGCTCTTCCAAAGTTCCTGAGTTCAATTCCCAGCAACCACATGGTGGCTCACAACCATCTGTAATGAGGTCTGGTACCCTCTTCTGGTCTGCAGACATACACACAGAATATTATATACATAATAAATAAATAAATAAATAAATAAATATTAAAAAAAAAAGAATGATGGTGAGTTTACCAGGTGTGAAAGTGTGACATGCTGTGCTCTGTCTCCAAGAGGGCCCTACGCCATGCCATTCACCAAAGCCTCAAGTGCATCAGTGTCAGAGAAGAGACAACTCCTCTGTGTGCAGATGAGGTCATTCTCTGGGCCACAGGTGCCACTAGTGGGGGACAATAAGATTCTCCATTTCAAAGTCAAGACCAGACTGCTTATATAACAATGTAATACATCAGGCATGGGGGTGCACGCCTTTAATCCCAGTACTCAGGAAGTAGAAGCAGGTGGGTGACTGTGAGTTCAAGGCCAGCCTGGTCTGCATAAGTAAATTCTATGTCAACCAAGGCTACACAGAGAGATTAGGTTTCAAAATTTTAAAAAAGCACAAGAGTCACACCAGGCAAAAGTATCATGCTTTTCACCAGGACCACATGGGGCAGGAAAGACACTGAAGCATGGGGATAGAGGGAGACACCTAAATGGGTGCCGCTTGACCTTAAACGGGTGGGGAGTACATTGTTTGACTTTGCACAGTTATAACAGAATGGCTTCAAGAAATCTCAGTGAAGGAAGATTTATTTTGGTGCCTTGTTTCAGAGGTTTTGGTCCCTAGTCATTTGGCCCCATGCATTTCAATAGAAGCCACAAGTGTATTTCACATTCATCAGACATTCAAGACTAAAAGCCAACATCGAGTCAATGAGATACACGCAGTAGAAACTCAAACCCTGCTCAGGGGAGCAAACGGCATCTTAGTTAGCCAGAAAAGTGATTTGTTATTAGTGTGTCGATCTGAGCATGCATACTGTAAGAGTGCCAGCCATTCCTTGTCAAGGTACAAGCATAAGAGCAGGGTCTCACACACCCTGGAAGGACTCGGCCAGCTGGCTGGTTCCTGGCCAAGGTCTAATAGTATTGAAACAGTACATCAGAACACGTTATCGGTGTGACAGAGCATTACCTTAGAGAGTTCACTACCTCCATACACACACACGAGAGAGAGAGAGAGAGAGAGAGAGAGAGAGAGAGAGAGAGCGCTGTGATGCAAAGCTTTCCTTATTATGCCAGGGTTAGCGGTGCTGCCCTGCAGGGAGACATGTGAGCTCCATGAGACTCAGAAATGCAAATATGACATGGAAAATGCAAAGGCTCCTCCCTCCCCATCCTGTGGAAAAGACACACATGACATCTGGACTCCATGGGATGATGCCCACCAGCAAAAACAGGTGATATACCATAACACATGTATGGTAGTCCAAATAAGAAATGTCTCGAATCTGAACACTTGGTTTCAGTGACACTGCAGGGGAAGTTTAGGAGAGGCACACTCGCTCAGAGGAAGCATGGGGGGGTTTTCAGAGTGTAGAGTCTCCCCTTCCTGTTCCCTCTCTCCGCTTTGTACTCACAGGTCAAGGTGTGAGTTCTTGGTTTTCTGTTCCTTTCTCCTTCCCTGTCAGTTGCTGTCATGCCTCCCTATATGAAGGATCTCTCTGGAACCATAAGCCAAAATAAACTCTTTAGTCTATGAGTCACCTGGGGTCTTGGTGTTTTATCACAACAGAAAATCACCGACACGGGTGTGTCTCACAGACATTGCCACACCAAGAGGTCACGTCCCAGGGCACCACAATCAATCTGCTTAGAGGACAACATTTTAAAATATGTGACTGCTGGGATTTAGCTATGGTTCCAGTGCCGTGAAAGAGAAGAGAATGGTAAGCCCACACACACTCCACAAAAAAAAAAAAAAAAAAAAAAAAAAAAAAACCAGGTTATCTTTGAAAAGCTAGGAGAAGTAAATGATTTCTGGATATAAAGTACTTCTGAAATTCTAGTTTGTTTTTCAGAAAAACAAGGAGGCTCACTGGCTGGATTTGAGTCACTGAATCTGCTCCTCCCATGCTGCTCTCAGGTGTGACTGGCGCATACACTAACTTTTCTTTGCTATTTAAGCTCCATTTTGAGTTGTTTTCCACTACGCAGACTTAAGCTGAAGCAGGCTCGGTAATGGGGATTACCACGATCGACCAACCTTCGGTCCAATCCTGTCAGGGGGATCCACCACGAGACCCACCTTCAGTCCTGTCCTGTAATAGGGATCCGCCATGATTGGTCCTATCCTGTAACAGGGATCCACCACAATCGACCAATCTTCCGCCCTATCCTGTTTGGCTCATTGTATCATTAACAGTTAATTCTGTTAAAACTTGACAGTTTTAGGGACTTCCAGCTACAAATGTGTAGGCAAGAGGAGCCTGAAACAAGGAAACTAACTCCCTGGCTCCATCAGCACATGGTGAGCACATACCGAACCATCACACAGCTTCACAGATGTGTGCAGTTGGGACACGTGGATAAAAACAATTCTTAAGGATCCCCCATTCCAAAGAAAATATTGTTGGGATCTGTGCAAACATCCCCTGAGGTTTTAAATCTACTCAGAAAGAACAGGCTATTACTAAAGCAACTCAGTGGTTTCTGGGTCCTGTGAGGCTCCTGTTTCAGAGACATTCTGACAAAGCACATGTGACAAGAACAATAGAGATTCCGACAAATCTATAAATCACCCAGCATATAAGAAGACAGGCTTACACACTTGCCTTCAGCAGCTCAATCTGTCTGGAGTATCACATGCACACACACACACACACACACACACACACACACACACGCATGCACACACGGAGGCACAGAGGCACACATGCACAGGTGTGTATGCAAACACATACATGCACACTCCTGCAGGCCACAGATGAATGCGGGAGTCCCCAAAAGGAAGAGAGCAGGACAAGTGAGAAGACAAGTGGAGATCAGGGCAGAACATGTGTCCTCTGTTGCTGGGGGCAGAGGAATAAAGGACAATGGTTTTCTCACAGACAAATCCTATAATTAGAGACTGTGTCCTGGGGGAAATAAGACCTCCACTCCACCTTGATACAGGACAAAGATGCAAGCAAGTAAGAGACCAGCAGAGAAATGTACTTGTACACACCACATACACATACATACATCATCACCTGTATCTACAGGACATGTGCACATCACATGCACACACATACACCATCAACTGTATCTACAGGACACATCTATGAGGCCTGCCATTTCCCTGAACCCTCAAAATAGCTCTGCAAAGGCAAGCCTTGTTTTTTGGAGGAAGGTGCTTGGATAGGTATAAGCACCACTGAGGGCTGCCCACCCTTTGCTAGGAGAGCTGGGATCCAAGCCCTTACCTACACAACTCAGAAGCTCACAGGAAAAGGGAGGAACGCAGTCTGACTGGGTCTCAGAGCACCAGCCCACAGAACAGCCCCCTGCACCAGCCAGCAGCTCTGCTCTCTCCTGCTCCGTGAGATGCTGCCTCTGGTAAAGATGTCATTCCTGCCATACTCAGTTAGTCCCAGCCCAAGGAGTCACTCATCCTTGACTCCCAGTTCACATGGCGCAGCCCTCTTTCCATCAACTACACCAAACAGCTCGCACATGTAAAACCTTGGCCACAAGAGGAATAAGGTTAAAAAATTAAGCAGGTTGGCTCTGAGCCACTGCACCCCAAACACCCACAGGACAGCATCTCACTGGTCCTGCTGATGGCAGGTCCCACAGTTACCTAAGGTCCAGCAGGAAGCGCTCTCCAGGAGGGGGCTGCTGTAGAGGGCATGCATGAACATGAGGTGGACCATCAGTTCAGCCAGCCACCACCAGCAGAGCAGGCGGCCCAGGCCCTTGGCTAGAATGCAAAGGCTCTGCTTCGGAGAGCTGAGCTCTGGCTGCTGCATCTAAAGAGGGGACAACAGAGAAGGCAGCATTAGATTGTGCTCGGTCCCAAGCCCTGCAGAATGTCGCTCCTGTGATCTTATTAGTGGGGTTTGTGCAAATCACCATTGTCGTTTCTACTGATAGGGTACGGAAGTCTGTTTGCCTTAACGACACCCGATTTTCCTGGGTAAGAAAATTACATCCCAGTAGGGAAATGACCCCAGAACAAGAAGAGGTGTGCCAACATGGTACCCTACAGCCAAGAACAATGCCAAATTCTGCATCCTTCTACCCCAGCCTTGACCTGAGGCAGCCAGGCTGGGCCAGGATTTCAGGTACTCTGCCCCTTGAAACTGCTTCTCTTTGGTCCTGGTCACCCTGAGCTCAGGCTGAGGCAACACTAGATGGCACAGAGTGTGAGTGACATGGAAGAATTCAGGATGTCTGTCAGTCTACCTTCAAAAAACAGGCAGAGTAAATACCCAGAGGAGACAAGTGTCTGCTCAGCAGTAGCAGAGTAATAGACCGGATTCTAGCATCGGCCACACAGCTGCATGACTGTGCTAAGTTACCCAACCCCCCGGGTCTTGATTTCCTCAAAGTAAAGTGAAAATGGTGGCGGCAGTGGTGGTGAGATGTGAGTACTAAGTCCAGCACCCACACATTTGAAGTCTGAGTACTAAGTCCCAGCACCCACACACTTAAAGTATTAGCAGCATCACTAGCAGCGATGTGGCCTCTGGGTGCAGCTGTGTCCTCTTTCCTCGAGGATCCCAGAACGAGGGCAGAGGTACCACAGCAGTGCCCCACATCGAATGGGAGGTGGGTGTCTCCATTGTCTACGACAGGAACACAAAACAGCCTGAATGTTCATCATCCGACCTGAGCACTTCAGAACTTGGGGTTCTGAAGAGTCCCAGATTCCATAGCACCCCAACAGCCCAGACTCCATAACACCCGAACAGTCCAGACTCTCTTCAAAAGACAAAAGACATTGGAATTTTGCATCATTTCAGACTTTCCCATTAAAGTTGATATGTGGGTAAAGATGGCAAAAAAAAAAAAAGCCTTCTCCACGGTAATCTAGCCGTGCAGTAACCTCGCTGTGGGGTCACCTCTCTGTGGGGTCACCTCTATGAGGGGTCACCTCACTGTGGGGTCACCTCTCTGTAAGGGTCTCCTCACTGTGGGGTCCCTCTCTGTGGGGTCACCTCACTGTGGGGTCACCTCGCTGTGGGGTCACCCTGCTATGGGGTCACCTCTCTGTGGGGTCACCTCACTGTGGGGTCACCTCGCTGTGGGGTCACCTCTCTGTGGCATTGTCTCCCTACACAGGTCAGGGAAGCCACTATGAATCCACAGCAAGACAGCTGAGAAAACATGAGGAGGCACCATGTTCCCTCCAGGTGGAGACGGGCCTTGCGTGGCCACCCTGTGGCTGGTGCACTGAAGCAAGTCGTCTGGAGGATAGTGATGGCAGCCGACAGCAATGCTCACCCAGCTGAACCCTAACAGGTGCTGAGCACACGGCCTGCAGCCCAGGTCCCCAGAAGCACAGCCTGCATCTGGGGTGCCACACCTTGCTGGTATACAGGCCTGACCTGGGGAGCAGAGACAACGGATGGACAATAGCAGAAAATTCACCCTCCCGGCTTGCCTCTCAGTAAAAGGCCAATCTGGAGGTCCTCCTAGGTGCCCCCAAGCCACAGGCAGTGCACACAGACACACATATATGTGCACACACATGCTCACACATATACATACACATGCATGTGCACACACATGTACATGTGCACACACGTACACACGCGCGCGCACACACACGAGTAGTCATTTGCCTTTCTGGAAGGTTAGGCATCCTGATGGTCCACTCACACTTCGACATAATGGGGTCTCTTTTATTCGAAGTCGTTTGTCCCTCGTCTCGCAGCAGGAGAGATGGGCTGCTGCACAGCGCCCACCCTCACAGCTGCACGGAAGGCCTTCCATTCGAGGTATTTCCAACCGAGGGGACTGTCAACCTTGAGATCACTGGGAACTGCCATGGTGGGAATTTCAAGCTCAGACTCCACTGGAAAACACGCATTAACTCGTCTGCCAATTGTATTTTAAAACGCATTACAATTTAAAAACCTCATTTCATGCAAATTGCACAAAAGGGAATGTCGTCTTTCTCCTTCAAAGATACTCTGAAGACTGAAGATGACAGTTGTCAGAGATGAAAGGTTCCTGTCCTCTGCGTGGGAGTCATGCATGTGCCTGCGAGCAACCGAGGCCCTTCCTAGGGCCAGCGACGTTGTCAGTCCCTCTGCAGGATCCAGGGACACATGGACCTAATCTGTGTCCCTTCAGAGCTGGGCGGCTCCTCTGTGTCGTCCAAGTCCCTCACCTACGCCCTATGGAAAGCTTACTCAGGCCCAGCATTGGTGTCCACAACCCAGCCACCCACAGGAAGGCCGGCAAGGTACACTGCCCCCTCCCAGGAAGTCCAGTACACTGGCACACACTGCCGCCACAAACCAGTGCTTGGTCTAGACAGCTGGAGCCCTGGACCCTCTTAGCTCCTGCCACACCAAGTCAGCATGACAAGGCTGTGTCTTTTTTCTTTTTTTCAAGCAATATCTCAAAATCCACTATGTAGCCAAGTGGCCTTGAACAAACTCTGTGTGTGTGTGTGTGTGTGTGTGTGTTTGTGTGACCCATGAAGTCACAAACACCCACTGTCTTCCTCTATCACTGTTGACCGTATTGTTTAGAGTCAGAGTCTCTCACCGCCCCCTGGAGCTGCTATTTGGGCTACACCGCTCCAGCAAGCACCCAAGACTCACTGCCTTCCCCCAGCACTGGGTTGCAGAGGTCCTCTGGCATGCCCAGCTTCTGTGTGCTGTGGGCATTCAGACCCAAGATCCAACTGCACACAGCAAGCATGTTAACTGCTAAACTATCTCCCAGCCCTTGAGTTTCAACATCTGATCATCTTGTCTCAACCTCCCAGGCTGGGTTCCAGGACCTCATGAATGCTAAGTAAGCACCCTAACAACTAAGTTCTCACACCAGTCACGATGCTCCTGGCTTTCCTCCATTCACCGAGCCTGCCTTTCACGTGTCTGTCCTTACTGCGTCCACCCAGCCTGCCTTCCACGAGCCCATCTTTGCCTCCACCTTCTCTGTTTACAGTGGTAGCAAACGTCTCTCAGAGTTTGGAGATTACATGCATGAGAAGCTGTGGAGCTGACTTTATCTTTTCTCTATGGTCAGGTCATTCAGGGGGTCTCCAGACCTAGAAGTCCGACTCTCCACAGCACCTGAGACACTAACACCTGTCTCTGCCCCGCCCCTGCCAGTCACTCTCAGCCAGGCCCACCCTGCTGTGACTATCTGGTCCCTCCAATAGTCCAGCACCATGGCTTCTCCAGAGGCCAGGGATGGCCACTGCTCAGACTCCTCTGCCTATCGGGCTGGACACAGGGAAAAGGGGCTCTGAAGTAACCTAAACATCCCCTGAACTTGCCACACGTTTTTGACCAATCATAATCCAACAGCAGCGAGTGTGATAGCATACCAGCTTCAAGCCTCATTGCCTCCTGGGACCACGCGCTCCCCACAGCAACCCTGGCTCTGCCAACCTTCCCATCCCACAGGGAAGGTAGCTGAGGCACAAATGAGGTAGCTCACCGAAACAGAACAGGGATTTGAACCTGGAGCTGGCCTCCATACCAAGGACCCCTTTGGTAAGAAAAGTCCCAGGATGCACCACTCAGACTGCCTGTCACCCTATCCAATCCCCACTGCAGAGCCCCCCTGCTCAAGGGAGACTCTGAGGCCCCAGTCAGCAGGCCACCCTGCTTTGCCCAGGCCCTGCTGGATCTGCCTCACAGCAGTTCAGGATCTTAACTCCCCAGAAGTACAGCAGCAAAGTAGCTGAAGCCCGGCTTCCTGACACTCCACAGGCCAGAAAGGGCCTTCCGGATAAGGCTAGGTAGAAGGTAAAGTTTTTGGTTATTGAATTATTTCACATGCTTTAGAGTATGGAGAACACCTCTTCCACGCTTCCCTCATTTGCATACGTAAATGTATGTGCTAAAAGTTGAAGTAACATAATCTGCAGAGGTGTTCCTCTCTTTTAATACTTGGGGTTTCAGAATCCCACACAGGCTTGCCCCTTCTGGGTTCATTTCCACGTGGGACACTGCTGCCCCCTGGTGGTCAAGTCTCCTCCTGCGCATTCACACAGCACTGAGTTCTTCCATTGTGGTTCACCCTCCTCTCTTCCCAGTCCCTCCCTCTTAGATTACCTCATCGCAAAAGAGGAGCGCACCCACAGGCTCTCTCAGCATGTGCAGAAATCACATGACTTTTTGTTCTTTGTGTGTAGAATGTGTGTGATGTGTGTGTGTATGTTTCTGTGAGTACATGCCATGGCACACATGTAGAGGTCAGAAGACCTTGCCTTCCACTTTGAGACTAGGTCTCTTGTTCACTTATGTGTGCACCGGTCCAGCTGGCCCACAGACTACAGACTTCCAGGGAGTCCACCAGATCCTGGCATTAGGTGTGCACTGCATGTCTGGCTTTATGTGGGCTCAGGGAATCTGAACTCAGGTCTCACCTTTGCAAAGCAAGTGCTCTGCCCACTGAGTCACTTCCCCCAGACCCTGTCTGGCTTTTTATTCAGTGTTTATTCTGTCCTGTGGATTACTGAGCATTTTATTTTTCTGGGATGGCTTTAACAAATACAGTCAGAGCATAGAGAAAGGTTTGGTTTCCCTTTCCAAAGTCCGTACTCTCAGCAACTGGAACATGTCAGAAAGAAATAAGTAAGATCCAAGTAGAACCTGAGCCCCTCTGGGGTGAGCCCTCCGTTCTCCTCCCAAACCGAACCTTTACAGGTGAGCCCACCCATCCTCCCCAGACTGGGCCCCTACAGGGTAAGCCCACCCATTCTTCACCTCCCCCCAGACTGAGCACCTACGGGTGAGCCTACCCATATCCCCAGACTGAGCCCCTACAGGGTGAACCCACCCACCCTCCCCAGACTGAGCCTCTACAGGGTGAGCCTACCCATCCTCCCCAGACTGAGCCCCTACAGGGTGAGCCCACCCATCCTCCCCAGACTGAGCCCCTATAGAATGAGCCCACCCATCCTCCCCAGACTGAGTCCCTACAGAATAAGCCCACCCATCTTCCCCAGACTGGTGCTCAAGGGAATGACAGTCCTTAGCTAATGGTTTGGGTGAACCACAGCCTTAAAGTCTGCTCCTGGGGACCAGGCATGGGGCCTGACTACACCCTCGCATTGTCGCTGTTGGACCCTAAAAGCTGCAGTTGGAAAGTAAGACCTGCAAAGAATGGCTTTGCACCCCGAGGAAGTGCAGCTCCCACTGGGCAAAGCTCCCGGTGCATATGACGCAGTTGGGGAGAGTCTCTTTCCTCTGAGTGGCTTTAGTCTACTTCCCCAAGAATTACTGTCCATCCCAGGGGAGGGATGGGGCCGAGGTTTAGTTCAAAAGTTATTGGCTGGAAAATTGGGAAGAAGCCAAGTTCACGGTGTCAAGGAAACTGCAAGAGGCAAGATGCGGAAGGTCCGAGTCTGCCAATCCTGGGCCAGCACTGCCTCCAGCCCACTCCTCAGACAAACTCAGGACAGCAGTTCCCAGCCTCCTCCAAGCACAAGAGTCAGGGCACCTGGCAAGTCACAACAGTGAGCCCCAACCCTGGTCAGTCATAGGCCTGGGGTAGGGCCTGAGAACTCACATCTCAAGTCCCTGATGGTGCTGATGCTACAGACCAGGGACCACACTCTGAGGTCAGCTGCTCTCACTAGCCCACCTGTCATTTACACAGTAATCTAAAGCACAATCTAAAACATACATGTGTGTGCTGTATGTGAGTGTACGCATGCGTGTGCTGCACGAATGAAGGCAGTGTGTTGTGTGTGTGCTGTATGTGTGCATGCACAGGTACGCTGTACATATATGCAGGCATGTGTGTATACACATGTATGTTATATGTGGGTATAGGCATGCATTGTGTGTACACATGTGCATCCATGTGCTGTGTACACATCCATGTGTACATGGATGTGCTGTGTGTACCTGTGTGTTGTACATGTGTTATATGCATGTGTTGTGTATGCATGTATGTTTATATGTGTCTGTACTATTTTCTTCTTCAAGATGGCTGTGCTTTGGTGGAAGCCATTCCCCTTGGGAACCATTGTTTTAGGTACTAACACATGGATTAAACTCCCTTGCATATGTCCCAGGAGATTAGCTGGGGGATGTGCTCAGATCCATAGCACACCTAAATGGGGAGATGCATGTGGCACCAATAAGCACAGCCAACACCCCAAGTCTTAGCCTTCAGCAGAGTTACTAACACAGAGAAGCCCTCTTAGCACTGACGGTAATAAAATCAAAATATTGATCAACTCTGAAACTGCTGAAGGTAGCCCATGTCTTGTTGAATACTCAGCCATGGCTTCATTCTTTGTGTAAATTAAATAATCTATCTCATTAGTAAGCAGATTTGCTCTAGTCTTAAATAAATGGTGAAACTGTATTATACAAAATAATTGTTTTATAGTAAACACCATTAGGATCTGTTATCAGTCAAAGCTTGATATACCTACACACCCAGGTTCGAGGAAAACTTACTCTGGCAAGACAGGCTTACAGAAGCATCTTTAGGGTCATTTCAGACGTTGTTGTAAAATTCATTTAATTATTTGCTAGGAAATCTCATCATCAAATCAAACAGCAACTTTTAAAATCTAACACTGAGCTGGTGAGGTGGCTCCGTGGGTAGAGACACTGCTCACAGCTTCACACACTGAGTTCAGTGCCTAGATCCTCCAGGTGACAGGGAGAACCGACTTCCTACAGCTGTCCTGACTTCCACACGCATGCTGTAGCATGTGTGTGCCTGCATGCCTGCGCACAAACACACACACAGGGAAGGAAGGAAGGAAGGAAGGAAGGAAAGAAGGAAGGAAGGAAGGAAGGAAGGAAGGAAGAAAGGAAGGAAGGAAGGCAGGAAGAGTTAAAGTCAAACATTCTAACGCAATCCGATCCAAAGACACTAACTCAATACTAGTATCTCGAGGGATGATGTAGGAAGACATTAAAGTCTTTGTTTTCTATTAATAACCATTCTGTTTCTTTAAAAACCTGCAACTCATAATGCAGGGTAGCCTGGACTCTGAGTGAGGTGTTCTAGGAAGTATGGCATAGGAGGATGTCACATTTTAAACTGGCCCTAAACACACTCCTGCCGTTTTCTACCCCACATTCATGATAACACAAGAAAGGTGACCACCGCCAGAAACACCACCAACTCATTACCCATTAGACTTTGAATGATTTTTGGTTGTACATTCAGAAGCCTTTCACCGTTCCCAAACCCTCCATGAATCCCACACTCAGTAAGTAACCCCATTTGGGGTGAGAATTCACAGTCTGAGAGGGAGAGACCTACATAGAACTTGTCAGATCCCCCAGAGGACTCTACCTGTTTGAAGAACTCCGGGAAGTTGAGGATGGGTCCATTGTGGAAGACAGGATAATAAAAGACATAGGCCAGCAGCCACAGGAAGGAAGGGGAGGCCCGCTGGGCAGGCGCAGGCTGCCGGCACAGCTCCAGGCTGAAGCTGGTGTAGAACAGGCAGCGAACAGTCAGCGTGAACTGCAGCAGGTAGTACTCACTGTCTGTCTCGTACCACCGCCTCTGCAAAAGCAACAAGGGGGGGGGAACAGTCGGTGAGAGAGCGGGGTGGGGGAGACAGTCGGTGAGAGAGCGGGGGGGGGGGGGCAGTCGGTGAGAGAGCGGCCAGCCTGGCCTGACACAGGAGCCAGCCGGGGAATACTGACGATGGCTTCCCCTGCGACAGAAGCAGAAAGAGCTGAGTCCAGAGCAGTATCAAGAAGTCCCACCGGCAACCAAAGCAAGCCATGAGAGCTGCAGCGTAGCTGGTTGTAGAAAATGTGCCCTGCATATCTGGGACCCTGGGTCCAACCCTTGGCACCAAAAGAAACACATTATGGCCATATATACAAGGTTCGGAGCCAGGACCGAGTTTTAACTTGGTCCCTAAGGGACTCGGCAGGCTGTAGGCAGAACTAACCATTCAACAGTCATACAGACTGCCTCCAGACTGCCTCCTGCCCAATGTCTGCCTCCACCAAACACACAGCTGACAAAAAATTGTGTCTGTCAAGATGCCACCCCAAGGCATAGTTCAAGGCTTGGTCTGTGACCTGGAGGCAAAACACTCTGCATTCACTTTCTATACAAAGTGCTTCTGTGATTAGCTGTACGAGTGGATAGTTAATAAGCCTATCCTATCAACTGAGAATAAAAACACTTGCTGACTGTTTTGGGTCCACTGTGGATGCTGTGTGTCACAAGGAAGCAGAGTAGAAGACCACAGAGCACTCAGCAGGCAGGTTTAAGAATATTGAGAGGGGAGGAGCCTGTTTATACCCCTCTGGTCCCATGACATTTGTCACCCTCCCTTAACATCCACACTGGGAGAAAAGGTGACTACGGACAATCTCATAGACATAGAACCCATGATCACAGATGAGTTTGTGCAATAACCCGGAATGGCCACTAGGCGGAGCCCCATGGAGAAGCTACTATTCTGTGAACTGTGACACCCTCCCCTGCCCTGTGGTAAGGTGTGCAGGCGGGGACACCTACCTTAACCTCGTCCACACTTTGCAGTCTCAGGGTGGAGAGCAGGAGGAGAGAACACAGCCAGGACAGGAGCATTGACCGGAACTGGGCCACGCAGAAGGCGATGGTGGTGTGGAGAAAGACCATGGCCACGCCTGGGGTCCCCAGCACACACCAACAAGCCCACATTCCATAGACCATGATAATCCAGGGTCTGTGCTATAGAAGGGAGGTCCAAAGAGAACACAGGAGGTGAGTTTGTGAGTGTGGCTAGGAACACATTGTGCGGATGAGGGCAAGCCCTGGTGACCGGGAACCAAACCCTGTTCTCCCTGTCTGCCAGGTCTCCTGCCCTCAGAGCCTCCTGGACTAGATCCCACAACAGGGAGATGCTCGGCTGACTTTTGAGCAGACAGAGGAAGGAACCCCCAGCCGGGAAGGTCACATTCCCACATCCTGCAGACAATTAGTCCTTCAGAAGCCAAAATGAGAATGAAAGTCATGTACATTTCCTGGGAACCTTAAAAAAAAAATGGGATTTTTTTACACCAAGATGTTCTGATGTCTTAGACTTAAAATCAATTATTAAATTACATCTTTTTGGAGCATCCAACGGTGTGGGTTTTACTGAGGGCTCCTGTGGATGCAATCCAAGGCAAAAACAGTGAACTTACTTGAGGATCATGAGGCTTTTTTTCCAATTTCTTTTCATAACTCAATTTTGCATTCCTTGAGTGTGAACTTTTGAGATGACAGTGTGGCCCAGATGAAGCCAACAGGTGGGACACCCTTAGCATGCTACTCACAGTTAAATTTATGTCACAGGAAAAATTTCACCTTCTCAACTTTTTGTGATGTCAAGATCTTTACCTGATTGACATGTTAGTCCCATTTTAAAAGACTCTGAATACTATTATTCTGTTTAATTAGCAAGTAACTTAGTTGTTCGACTGATTAACCAAACAGTGGATTAATATATGTTTGCTGCCGCGAAGCCTCTTCCTGTGTCCAGGTGCTAAATCCTTATTTTAAGACAGCACTATGTCTGGAAAGATGGCCCGGAGGCCATCTGTGCAATAACTGTGCAAGCAGGAGGACCTGAGTTCAAATCCCCAGCACCCACGCAGGCCACTCATGCTGGCACGCCTCTGTAGCCCCAGCGTCCTGTCGAGAGGTGAGAGACAGAGGCGGGAGAATCCCTAGGTGCTCAGAGGCCAGTCAGCCTGAAGCGCACAGCGGTGAGGTGGAACCCGAGGTCCAACACTGAAGGTCATCCTCTAACTTCTCCACCTCCCTAGTGATGCTGCCCTCATACACACAGACACACATACATCAGAGATATACACACATACAAAGATTAGTGAGTCCTTAAACTGCAATAAAGAGCCAGCAAGATGGCTCAGTGAACAAAACTGCCTGTCACCAATGTTGCGCGTCTTGTGGGTTCCATCCCCACGTGAAAGTGGAAGGGGAGAAGCCACTCTACAAAGCTGTCCCCTGATCACACACGCCCATACACACAGCATAAACATACACAAGAAAAAGACCGCAATGTAGAAATGAGCGTGACTCAGCAGGAGGGAGCTTGCCTGGCATGTACCAGGCCTTTGGTGTGATCCTTAGCTCTACCAAATACAAAGAAAAGAAAAAAGGAGTAAGTTTCTATCCACTTTATTTTATGTGTATAAGTGGTTTTTTACCTTCATGTATGTATGCATACCACATGTGTGTAGTGTTCCCAGGAGATGGAGTTACAGATGGTTGTGAGCTACCACTGAGAACTGAACCTGGGTCCTCTTTACCACCGAGCCACTTCTCCAGCCCCAAGGCTTTAATATTAAATGGCAGTGTGTCGGCATAGCTTAATGTCTAACGCTTCACGTCACCTGTATGATCTTCAGCAAGTTGCATAAGCTCTCTGTGACTCGGGTTCTTTGCATACAACCCTGGAGCAGGAACTGTTTCACAAGGTCACCGCAAGTATATCGGAACTGTGAGTCACACTTAGTGCACACATGCAATGTAGGGGCTCCTCCTGGGCTGTGTCTGTAGTTCAGTAGCTGAGTGCTAGCCCAGTGTGCTTGAGGAACTGTGTTCTAGCCCCAGGGCTTTGCAAGATGGATCTAGTGACAATACCTGTCATTCTAATCCGCACAGGGAGAGGCTAAGGGGTAAGGAGTTCAGGAAATCTTTGGTTATACAGTGAGACTGTAGCTAGTCTAGGCTGTAGGAGACACTGCCTCCAAAGGGGGAAAAAGCGCAATATTATAGGAGTGATGCATTTTGAATGATGGCTTTCAGGAGCTTTTCAAAACTGCAAAGTCACATGACTGAACTTAGATCTTCTGGTGAACAGGGTGAGCTGAGCCTGGCAGCCCAAACCTTCCCTCCTAGCCCCTCAGGAGGAGGAGGCAAGAGGATCACAGATTGAAGATCTACCTGGGCGACTTAGTAAGACCCTGTCTTACTAAAAAACAAAAAGTAGAAACAGGGCTGAGAGTATAGCTTAGTGGTGCAGGGATCGCCTGACACACATGGGGTCAAATGTTCAGGCCCCACATATGGCCAGGGAGACAGAGACAGACAGAAGCAGAGAACTGGACGCAGGACAGGCCTGGAGGGCAGTCGCCCATCGCGTCCTAGGTATCAGCCTCTCTAAGCTGCTGCCCACGCACCCCTCTTCCGCAGACCCTATTCCAGCTCGAGAGACCGTCTGAAATGTGAGACTAAGTCAGCCACTTCTGCGTTCCAAGGAAACCAGAGAAATGTGAAGTTCATTTTTACGGCTTTTTCCATCCTGCTAACCACAGAAAACAGCCACATAAATTTGCCTCAAATTTTCCCCAACTCTCCCACCTCTGGGCAGAGTCCAATTTCCAGAAATGAGGTCGCCAAAGACTAATTTAGCACATGGTAGTGGTGGGGGGTTCTTTTCAACACACCCTACAGCGTGTGTGATGGGGGCTGTGCACGCATGTCTACACACGCATGCATACACAGTCACACTCTGGGTGAGTGCTATTTGATCTGCTTGGGAAAAGCCTGTGTGCTGAGCTGCATTTGAAACCCACCACACACAGAAGCTGCTCCAACTTGGAACAGAAAGACCTTCAGAAATTCTTAGCCACACTGTGCAAACCAGCAACACCCCAGGGAGTCTGTGACAGATGTGATGACGACCACAACAGCCATCTTGTGTGCAGACATGCCTCATGCAGGCAGACAATACTGGGCGCTGTCCTGAGACAGCACGGGAAATGCTCTTCTGCTAACCTTGGACTCCTCAACTTTGGCACTGCATCACCCTCTCCATCACGCACACCCTGAGGATGTAAAGCAGAAGGGTTGACGAACACGCCATCTTACTGCCAGAACTAATGACGTGTGAGCCAGAGTGCCACAAAAATGTTAAATGACACTGGAATTTCCGCCCACCCCAAGCATCATTAGAACCCAGGTACAGCATGGCCAGCCCTGAACTGACACCCGGACAGGAAGGGGAAGACCCTACCACAGTCCCCTCCACACACAGGCTGAACTCTGGAAGTGATGGTCCAGAGAGAGGTGGGGACACCAGAGGGGCAGGTCCATAATCGGAGGCCTCAGCAACCCTACCCAACTCATCTCCACACTGAGGTGTTTATGTATGGCTCCGGCACTTGCCCACCTCCTAGACACATAAGTGTGAAGCTTGCCACGTGAACCAGAACAGAACTGTTTTAAGTTTCCAAAAATAAAAAAAAGCATGTATCATGTCTTATCCACAAACAGTACTTCTAATCTGTCACCAAATGGGCCAGAAAGTTCTTTCCTGAGTCCCTAGGGATCTGAACAGGTACACAGAGCTTTGGTCACACCCTATGTCTGTCTCGGGTTTCTTCAGAAGGTCAATTTATCTTTATTTTATGCGCATGAATCTCTGCCTGCATGTATGTCTGCGTGCTATGTACATTGCTAGTGCATGAAGAGGCCAGAAGACAGTGTCCGATCCCCTGGACATAGAGTTACATGGTTGTGGGTGCTGGGAGCTGAACCCAGGTCCTCTGCAAGAACAGCAAGTGTTCTTGACCACGTCTCTGTCTCTCCAGCCCCTCCCCAACTCAGGGTGTTAAAGCCCACTGTCTCAGGGTTTCTATTGCTGTGATAAAACACCATGACCAAAGTAACTTGGGGAGGAAAGGGTTTATTAGGCTTACACTTCCATATCACTGTTCTTCACTGAAGGAAGTCAGGACTCAAGAAGAGGCAGGAGCTGATGCAGAGGCCATGGAGGGGTGCTGCTTACTGGCATACTCAGCCTGCTGTCTTACAGAACCCAGGAACACCAGCCCAGGGATGGCACCACCCACAATGGGCTGGGCCCTCCTCCCTCAATCACTAATTAAAACGTCCTATATATAGCAAGATCTTATGGAGACATTTTCTTAATTGAGGTTCCCTCCTCTCCGATGACTTTAAATTGTGTCAAGTTGATGTAAAACTACCCACCACACCCACCTAGAAGCCAAATGGCCCCATTCATTTAAATGAGATTCAAATGAGAACTGTGATTGGAAATTACTGATCTCTAGAAAAGAAGGCACAGGAACATCAACCCTTCCCCAAGCTTCCGCATACACATCTGGGCTTCTGTGTCTCTGGGTTGACACCCACCTACTTGCTAACCCAGGGAAGTGAGGAAAAAGAAAATTGACCTCAATATTGAGCTATATGTTCCTAATTTAGAACTCTGAATTTTAAGCAAATACAATTTTATACATTTTCCTTTTTTGTACATATGTGTGCCCACACATGATTATGGGTATACATGTGTATGGGTATGCATGTGTGTTTGGAAACCAGAGGTCTGTCTTGGGTGTGCCACTCCTTAGGTGCCATCTACCTTGGTTTATTTTTATATTTTGATTATTTTATGCCATTTATTATTGTTGCTGCAGGTGTGTGAGCATGTGCACACGCATGTTAAGGCCAGGATGCTTGTGTGGAGGTCAGAGGTAGCCTGTGAGGGTTAGTTTTCTCCTTCCACCATGTGGATCCCAGGGATCAAACACGGGTCATCAGACTTGGAGGCAAGCACCTTTAGCTGAGACATCTCACTGGCTCACAACTTACTTCTTGAGACAGGGCCTCTCGCTGGCCTCTAGCCTACCACACCGGCGAGGCTGACCAGACAGTGAGTCCCAGGACTCCCCTGTCTCCCTCACCCACCACATCCAGCC